GCAAGGCGCCGCAGCGAGCGAGCAGAGGGGCCGCCGTGGGGCCCTGTCCTCCCCCCRGCCCTGTGGGGACAGCCTCCGCGGCGGCACTACCCGTGAGTGACGTCCACGCACGCGGAGGGCAGCTGCAGCCCTAAGGGGTTGGGGCTGCTTCCCGCCGTGTGAAATTAAACCTGCCCCCAGCATCTCAGCAGTCGTTTTAACTCCTCCTCATGTGAAAATAYTCCCGATCCCTCCTTTACCCCATTGGGAGTGAAATTTCAGGGCAGTGTAGGAAGTGCTCTGGGACCCCTGGGACAGGAGGACGCATGAGGAACAAGCCAGGAGATTGTGTGGAGCACTAGGGTCTGGTTTCCTTCCCAGCGACTTTAGTGGCAACAGATCTGCCTGCTCTTGCCTCATGCTGAAGGCAACCGTGAAAGCAAGAAAGGGAGCCCTGGCTCCTTCGTTGGTGACGCCAGAGCTCCCTTGTGTGACCCTGGGCAAGTTGTTCCCTCTCTGTGGGCGCCACCAAGAGGCTCCGGCCCCGTCTTGGCAAGAGGGGAAGCCACGAGGCACTTGGGCATCCGGACAGCTGCTCAACCTTCACTTCTGCTTTTCACTGCTGTTCCCTTTCTCCTCATGCTCCTGGCCACCCTGAAAACCTCTCCGGAGCCAGCGCACCTGGGCAGGATGCTTAAAGACACCCAATAATCACGTTTCCCTTCGTCTTCCCAACCTCAGGCTCGCTAGCTGTGCCTCCGGCGACGCAGACAAGCCCTGGCATGGCGGGTGCTGCCACACGGGACCTGGGGGATGTCACCAGTGGGAAGCCACCCGGCGCTGGCCACCCCGTCCCGGCACGTGCTCCCAGGCCGGCCGTGCCCCCAGCCCCGCAGAGGGTGGCTCACACTCGCCACCCCCGGCCGTCTCCACCAGCACTGCCTTTAATAAGCAGCGTGGAATATTTTAGCACCTATGGAAAAGCCACCACAGACGGTGGTGGCAGCCGTTGCCAGGGAGACGCTCCCAAAAATAGCCCCACTCCGCCAACCTTTCCCGATGCTGCTGTGGGGATGCGGGAGGCGGAGGCCTGGAGGGCGGGCGCAGCGCTCCTGGCAGGGCGAGCGAGCCCCGAGCCCCATCCTGCCCGGGCTGAGGTCAAGCACGACCATGGGGCCAGCAGCCCCTGCTGGGGCACCCACAGCTCCCACTGCTGGGGCACCCACGGCTCCTCTTCGTGGCAACCCCAGCCAAACTGGCCACCAGCCCACGAGCGCTGTCTGCCCTGGGTGCCCTCGAGCCAYCAAAGCAGTTCTGTCCCCTCAGCACGTGCCGAGCCCCCACGGCTGCCCCACACGACGTCCCGCTTGTGCCCCATGTGCCAGGCGCAGCCGCTCTCCACCAGTGCCCGCAGCACCGAGCTGCTCCGCGCCTGCACCGTTAGCCCATGGGAGGTGCAAGCGGTGCCCAAGGCTTGGGCCAGTTGGCTGTGCCCAATYGCTTCCCTCTTCCCTCACCTCCTTCCCGGATGCAGCCTCTGGGATGAGGCCCCCAGAGGCTGCTCGTGGGTGCCAYGTGGGTTAGAGGCGCCTCGAGCCACGGCGCCGAGCGGGAACGCAGCGGGACTCCCCACCGAGCAGCTGCGCAGGGCAAGAGCCTTGCTGGTGGTGGAGACACAAGCTTGAGCAAGCCGGAGAACTGCCCTTTTCTCCTGCTTCTCCTGGTCGAGCAGCTGGGATCAGGGAAGGGCCGGGGAAGGAGAGTGGCCCTGGAAGAGGTTGCTGCTCCCTCGGGAGAATGAGATCCTCCACACTAGCAAATGGAGAGAGGAAAAAACAAAAATAGAAGATGATAATAATAAAAACCCCTCCAAATTCCCGTTTTTAATGCCAAATCGCAACTCCCTCTCCTCCCTGTCACCCTGGTGACATTCCTTGCCGTCGCCATGGAAACGGGAGGCATGGAGGGAGCATCACGGAGCGCGGCAGCGGCAGCGCCCCGGCATTATTTTGGGAGGCAGGGAGACACCCAGCGCGAGGCGCTTTATGTTGTGGCAGGGAAGGAGGTGGGGAGGAGGGACGGTTATTTTTACTTGTTCCCTCTGCGTGTGCCAGTTTCTCCTCTTTAGAGCGCCCGGTGGCCCGTGCCAGTCAACCCCAGGCGGCCCACGGGGCCCACGCGGCCCGCGGGGACGTCCTGCAGGGAGACGCCGGCCCAGGGGTCCATCTTGCAGCTAGGCCCGGGGCGCTGCCATCCCCCTTGTCTGCGTTGTCCCTTCGCTTGCTGCGGCTCCGGCGAGTGCTCGGGACACTCGCCCGAGCTGCTCGCACAAAACCCTCGGGCTGTCACCTTGGCCGGTGGCACCTGGGGCCACAGCAGGAAATAAAAGCAGGGCTGGCGGGCTGAGCTGCTCCGCTTAGGTCCTGTGGAAGGCCTAAGGTAAAGAGACTAAACCCCTGCCAGCAGCAGGAGTCTAGGTAAGGAGACTAAACCTCCACCACCAGCATCACCTCCTCGCTGATGAAGACTGCGGGTGAAGATGTGAAGAGCAGCAGGGCGGCCAAGAGGCTCCTAAAACCAGAGGGAAGTTTGCAGAAGGAGACCCAGCAAGAAGGGGCTCGGGGTGAGATGGAGGGGGTGTCCCATGGAAATGGAGCGAGTCCCACGGAGCAATTCCCCCCTCTAGTTTATTCCCAACCACTGCCCGCACTCCTCGGCGCGGTGATCACAAGGCTACGGCTGCACTGCCGCCCCAGCRCACACGTCCCCCAGGGCCCCTGCAGCCGATGGCTGCTGTGCGGGGTCACCGCTAAGCCCCCCTGCACCTCACTTTGCCCAACCAGCTCTCTCCAAAGGCGGCAAATTCCTGCTGAAGTCCACGATGGCTCTGCACAAGGAGCCGGAAACTTGGTTTCAGATGGAGTCACTGCCACTTCATACCCACTTGTTCCTTCCCGACATCATCCGTTAGTCTAAACTCTCGTCCCGCTTGCTCGCTAGGCTGAGCAAGTGTTTTCCAGCCAAACCTGAAAACCCTGTCTGGAAAAGCCCAATATGCCAGGTGTTGTAGAGGCAAAGAGGGAAAACACGGCAGGCAGCCTAATGGGCAAGGAGGAAATGTATGCAAATGTATGCAGAAAGGAATCTGGTTGCATGAATAAACTTGTTAGCACCAGGAATAATATTTTTACACTTTAATCATTAAGGCCGTTACTCCAGACTGAGCCCATAAGGACATGCCAAAGAAAGAAAAATCCGAAGGAATCGCTGCAGGTGGAGCCTGGGGACAGAGCAACCAGCCTCCAAAAGCAGCCGCTGGGCAAGAGCAACATGGGCTCTGTAGCCACAGTGGGGAAAATTAGCCCAACGGCCAGGCACAGTTTGTTTGGGGATAAGGTGACAAATTAAACCAACCATTTGTCATTTTAAAGGGTCTTTATAGTAGCAATTAGGTAATAAAAAGGGCCCTGTAGTGCTCTCCTATTGCTGAACCCATCTCAATGCTGAGGTCCTCATCCTCCAGCTGGTCCAGTGAGATCCTTCGCTCCTCACAGCTTAACCTCTGCTGCAAAGACAAGACTGATCTCAAGTAGACTGGTTGCCCATGACGGCTACTGAATATACAAGAACTCTGTAACAAAGTCACTACTGATATCCTTTCCTTTTGATTAAAATGATGGTACACACGTATTTCTTTCACACAGCATGTGTATTACATGTTTTTTAATCCCCTTGCAGGAATCTATGATCAATATTTTCAATGAAGTATATTTAAAAACAGGCTTTTGGAGAACTTTTTTTCCTTCTAGGCTGAGCTCTTGGATGCTCCTGGTTTCCAGCTCATATCCGGGAGCCAACACACAAGCCACGTTCCCTGCTCCCTCCCTCCGGAGCTTCCGTGTCCACAGCTCAGCCAACGCCCGGGCTCTGTTCCAGCTGCTTCACCACAAACCCACACGTCTTTTGGAGGAGCAACCACAGGTTGCCTGCTCCGGACCAGGGCACCCAAAGCAGTGCGCACTGCCGTGTGTCCTCAGCACCGTCCTCACTGGGCCCTGCTTAGTTCAGTGTCCGGTCCCGAGGGAAAAGTCCAGGGCAGCGTAATCAGCGTTTGCTGTCAGGCAACCCCAGCCCCCAGCAAGACGAGCAAAGCCAGGAAGGGCCCTAAAGCACTGAGGAAGATGAAGGTCCCCRGTGCAGCCGAGGGCCGTGCAGAGCAGGGGAGGGCTGCAGTGCTCGGGCACTCGCGGCGGGAGAGGAGACAGCCCTCGAGTCCAGGCAGACCCAAGGAGCCACRGTCGCAATGTAACGCCACGCAAGCCAAAGACATTCAAATCCATCCTCTTCCCATCCCCTTCCTTTGATCTACGGGCGTAGGGGAGCGCTGGGGGAGCGCCAGGAAGTTTTTCCTTAACAGCAGTTTCTGTTTCGCTGGAGAATCACTGCCCAGAAAGTGCTGGAGTCAACACAGGGCTGCCCAGCTCGGAGCAGGGCAGAGATTAATGTGCCCAAAGGGACCGTCATGGTCCCTCGGGAGCCATCCGAGGACTGCGCCATCCTCCCCATCTCCCTCCAACCCCAGATGAGGGATAAGCATTTCCGTTTGCCTTATCCCCTTCAGGAACGCTTCCGTGTGTAATTTGAGACAAGGGGAAAAAAAGAGGAAGAGAGAAAAAAAAAGAAAAAGGAAAAATCGCGCGGTTATTCCCGCCTCCTCCTCCCTTCTCTCCTCCCCGGACAGCCAGGAGCCACGTCACCCAGTGCTGGCTTTGGGATTGCTGAGCAGACTTCTCGGGTCCTTCTTGGGGACAAACCCAACTTTGCCGGGGAGATCCGCCTGGAGGGGAGGGAGCTGGGGCCGCAGAGAGGGCAAACTGGTTCCAGTGGAGATAAAATCAACCTTGAAGTAAACTTAAGCAAGGGGGGCAGTTCACCCTACAAGGTAAAACGGGTATTTTTTTATAAAAGGAGCCTGAGTTTTCCTCCACCAGAAGAATTTATACACAGATAAAAAGAAAGCTCAGTTGGAAGAGAACATCTATTTGACCAAGGCTAGAGCCCAAAAAAAAGAGGAAAATCTGCTGAATTTTACCAAGAGACAATCTTTGGGGAAGCCCTAGAGCCTGCCCTAGCCCTGCACCCGTGCAGACGCTCTGCTTGCTTTGCCTCCGAGGAGTCTGCGCAGCAATGAACATCTTCCGGATCCTGGGGGAYATCTCCCACTTGCTGGCTATTATCATCCTGCTGATTAAGATCCAGAGGTCTAAGTCCTGTGCCGGTGAGTTTTCTCCACCTGCTCCCACGTCCTTTTCTTTTCGCACTGGAGAAGGAGGGGTCCCTTCTTGGAGGGCAGCTTGGTGAGAGGCCCAAGCAAGGTCATGGAGAGGAGGTGTGTGGGCAGGGGAGGTGAATTCRGGGCTGCTCATGCTAGCAATAGTCATCCCTCCCGGCCTGGGTCCTCGCAGAGAATCAAGTTTCCTTCTCCTTGCAGCTCTCCAAGATCCTACTCCGCTTCTTGTCCCTCTTTCTCCTACTCTTTGCTGATCTATCTTCATTTTTGGACAAGTCTGGGGGCCGCTGTAGAAGCTGCCAGCAAATCCATCCCAGTCCAAGGTGATTTCTCCAGCCAGGAGGGAGCTGGATGTGGTGGAAGGATGAGCTGTGGTGGAAGGATGAGGGCAAGGCGCCCTGGTGCAGGTGTTTGTTTCGGGGTGATGAAGTGAAGGGGTGGGTATTGTGGCTGCGGAGAGGTGACCGACAAGCACGAGAACCAGCAGAAGGAATGCAGGGAGAAAGCTTTTGCCGAGGGCAGCCAAGCTCCTGCAGGAGAGGAGCCCGCAGGGCCCGCGCTGCCAGCTGGCCGCGAGCAGCGGCAGACAGACAGACAGACACGTCGTCACGCTCGCCGTCCAAGGCGCCCGCCGCGCAGCGCCCAGGGCAGCGGCTGAGGTGGGCACTGCTCATCCTCAAGGCTCGTCCCCACAGCGCCTTGGCGAATCGTCCCGCGCTGGAGCCACGTGTGTTGCTCAGGGAGATGATGGGATGAGATGTCCCGGCTCCTGTGGGTGCTGCTTTAGGCAGGATGTCCTGGGAGCCGGCGGGCAGGTACCAGAGCCTCCTTGAGGGTTGCTGAGGGAGCCTGCGCAGGGAAATTCAAGCAGTTGCTTCCTGAAGGAGCATTCTGCTCGGAGTTCACAAACTAAGGGATTTCCGGGCTGTGCCACAGCAGTCACCACAAGCAGAAAAACTCTATGATTTTACTGCATTTGCCACCCTCTCCATGCTGCTTCTCGTGCTGGAGGCCCAACCAGTGGTGACTAAGCACCGACAGCATCCGTGGGCTGCTCCCTGATCCCTCAGCTCTTCCCTAATGTGGCATATGCCACATCACATAAACCCACGACAAGGTAGGCAGGCATGCAAAGGGGGCAAGGAAGGGAGAAGAAATGCATTTTCATGACAGTAAGGACTGAATTGGCCAAAGCAGTGAACCTACCCACCAAGAGCTGTTCCCAACAGTTCCAAGCCAGGGCTCAAGAGCATGAGGAGGAGTGACATAGAGAGGGTCTGGCTTGGTCCACATGTGGATCTGGAGGTATCAGGGCTCCTGCTTGGGCTGTTCTTTGTCATCAGTATTCTCTTATTAAAGGTCCAAACGGAGACAACAACAGCAACGTCCCTGGTTAACCTGGCTTGTGCTCTCTGGCGCCCACCTGACTTCCATTAAGTGTYTGGGGTGAACACTTAACGGGATTAGCTGCCCTGGCCCCACCAGTCACAAAGACAGGTCTGGCTCAGGTGAGCACTGGTCATGGGTGCTGCTGGGGCTCAACTTCAGCAAAYCCAATACCAGTGCGATAGGCACCCACTGTCCACATCCAGCGAGTTCCTCRGTGGACTGTGATTTACCAAACACTGCCAGCACTGGAAAGGAATCCCTACCCTGATAATCACCCCTACAAATATAATTTCTCCTATATATATTAAAAAAAAAAAAACTTTAAAAAAAGTGTTGGAAAGAGTCCATCCTGCACAGTAACTTAGAAATGTTCCCTATTACATAAAGAAAAACGAGTGTATGCCACAGTTTTTGAAGAAGATGAAAGGGAAGACCTGCCATCCTAAAGAATTTTCCCTTCATCAGCCTCTTCCCTTCCTTTCTTCTCCTTGCACTGCAGGTATCTCCGGGAAAAGTCAGATACTTTTTGCCCTTGTCTTCACAACCCGCTACCTGGACCTGTTCACAAACTTCATATCCATCTACAACACCGTGATGAAGGTAAGGAGAAGTTCTAGCACAAGCAGCCACATCAGCTCATCATGGTTCCTCAGGGAATGTGAGGGAAAATGTCCACTAAGGGAGAGGAAAGCGCAATTGCACCTTCCTTGTCAATCTCCCACACTTCTCATGATGCCACTGAAGCCCCAGCAGGCTGCACATGGGCAGGTCAGAGCCCATGGGCAGGCCAGGATCTTTGGGGTCCCCATCCCTCTGTTGACAAGAAGCCCAGACAGCAGAAAGTCCCATCTCTGTGTTGCATGAGAAAGCGGACCCCACCACACCGTTGGTACCACCRAGACCAGGCAAGATCCCGAATCAAGCTTGGGTCTCCTTCCACAGCAGGAGCATTTCACCAAGTGAACCTCTCCACATAGTGCCTGGAATGGCCCAAACAAGGGTGATCCTTGCATAGAGCAAGAGCTYACTCCTATCTCATCCCAGCCCAGGCCCATCAGGATCAGGGTAACGGATTTTGACTTTGGCAAAGCTAGTCTAAGCTAAGTCTCTCTTATGGCACAGAAGACGGGATCAAAGGTAAGATCTTGTCATCTCCCTTCCCTCTCGCAGGTCATTTTCTTGCTATGTGCCTACATCACCGTGTACATGATCTATGGGAAATTCCGGAAAACATTYGACAGCGAGAATGACTCCTTTCGCCTTGAATTCCTCTTGGTCCCTGTCACAGGCTTGTCATTTCTGGAGAATCACAGCTTTACACCCTTGGAGGTAAGAAAGGGAATAGGAAAGTGAAGGTAAATGGTCATCCATGTAAGTGGAAGGTAGATGAGTGTCTGGTACTACACAGCAAAGCTAGAAGGAYGTTGAATAGTTAAGATTTTTAATAGTAACACCATGCAGAAAAGATTAGCAGTCCTTGAAGAACATACCATGTAGAGAGTGGCTCTGTGTAGTAGAGCAGCTCAGCACTCTCMGTCCCAACAAAGCAGGTCCATTCTCTACAACTTCAAAAGCACTACTCGTCCTGCTTTGCTACCAGTGCTCTGATTGTTAATTTAGGATCTTTGGGCCCTGGTGCAACTTAACCAGCATCAAGATGCTCCGCTGTCCCATTTTTCATCTCACAGATCCTCTGGACCTTCTCCATCTACCTGGAGTCAGTGGCCATCCTTCCCCAGCTCTTCATGATCAGTAAGACGGGGGAAGCAGAGACCATCACAACTCACTACCTTTTCTTCTTGGGCCTCTACCGTGCTCTCTACATCGCCAACTGGATCTGGCGCTACCAYACTGAGAAATTCTACGACCAGATCGCGGTAGTTTCCGGGGTGGTACAAACCATCTTCTACTGTGATTTCTTTTATCTCTACGTTACCAAAGGTAGGTGAAGGAGTTGGTTCAAAGTCCGCAACACGCATTCTTGTGGGGTGGTGCAGTGCAGCTTGCCGTTGGTCAATCCCTAAGTGATTTTACCGACCCTGTACTAGATTTGTGATGTCTGTTATCCACCTAAAGTCCATTTTAAGAAACACATCTGAGGAAACCACATGGATCTTTCCGCTCACAAGGATCTAGACAGACATGTGAAACAAAGTAGAGATTTAATTAGAAATAAGCCTGGTTTAACTCCACCCCAGGAAGTTAATGATTAAGATATATTCATTTCTAACTACATTTGAAAGATTAGGAATTATACCAAAAAAAAAAAAAAAAAACAACTTAACAGGGAAGAAGAAAACAGAAGGAGGCAGATGACACTGGAGTAAGCAGCTACAGACACGTAGAGATTTTAAGACTACCTTTTCTTTTGGTGAGAAAGATGTAACCTTCTCAAGAACTGATTCTGTAGGAAGACAGAAAGGCACTTACGTGCTCAAGGGAACTTTCTGTTTTCCAAAGTAAAGATGCACCTTCCTCTTCAATGCTGTGTTTTGGTAAATGGTACCTTATTTGGAGGTACCAAATGAGCTCATATGGAGCTCACAGACCTAACAAGATCAAGGGCCTGAAATTATATAGAACGTGCTATGGTTTGTTTAGGCTGAAGTGTGCTTTAACGTGCTTTTATGTTTGGCAGGGTGGAACTTGATGGAGTCTAGCTGAGTGAACGCTTTCTAACTCCCTCACGCTCCTGAAGYAGCTTGCCAAAGCCAGGAGTGAGAGGGTTAGATAGAAAGATGACAGGAGTCCCAAGCAGGTGGCTGGCCTTTATGGATTAAGCCTTCCTTCTGTGACAAAAACACATCTGTAGCCAGGAAATTACTTTGTAAAACTGCCATCACCGTGCTCCATGTCAACTCCTTTATTTACTTAACTCCCATTTCAGCTTCACTCAGTTAATGTGTCCTGTGCCCTTCTACGTTTTGTTAAAATTTCACACCCCTTGCAGCTGGGGGGAATGGAACAAAACGGAAAAAAAAACTGCTGGTTTCCAGTCTTGCATCACCAGTAGTAAGATCACAAAATTTAGATGATACAGGAGGCAGAAGAAAAAAGTATTTGTTCCTGAGACATCACAGCAGGAAGAGAATTATTTTTTTTCCACAAATTTTCCAAATCATATAGAGAAAAACAGAAGAAGGGAGGGACTGAAGACAATTTGCAGRCATTTATGAAAAACAGCAATATTTTAACAGCTTGTATATCCATCTTCCACTCTTGGAAAAATAAGATCAGGCAAAGGCAAAGACACCTGACGCACACAAACCTCTTTGGCAAGACTTCAGAACAACCTGTGCCAGAGCATTGTAAAGGAATGTCTGCATAATGCAGCAGCTTCTTAATCTTGTTTTCAAAACTAGCAGAGATGCCTTCAGTTTCGAACGAGAAGGGGCCAAAAGATACTCTCTCCAGACCCCAACATTTTGTGTTTCGCAGACTTGTTGAGGTTGGAAGGTACCTCTGGAGGTTGCCCAGTCCATCTCTCCTGCTCAGGCCTGTATCCAGCCAGGCTTTGASTATTTCTAGGGATGGATACTGGACACCTGCTCCAGTGTTTGCCCAGCCTCCCAGCATGAGCTTTGTTTAAATTTTAATTTTCTGCATTTCAATCTTCACCCACTGCTACCTCCAGTCCTCGCTTTCTCACATGGGACGACGTGGAGATGCTCCAAGCCTTTGTTGTCTTTATGACCCTTCCCTGGCTCATTGCACTACATCCACGTCTCAGGCCAGAGCCGGACACAGATCTCCTGCTGTGGCCTCACCAGGACCGAGGGGAAGGATCATTTCCCAGGACCCGCTGCAAACCCGCTTCCTCCTAAAGCAGCCCGGCAGCCTATTGGTCTGCTCGGCCTAGATGTTTTCCTGGCTCCCCATTAACTTCCCATCAGGCTACCCAGGTCCTTCTCCGCCAGCCTCCTCTCCGGGCAGGYGGCCACAGCTTGGGCTCGTGTGTCATTCCTCTGCAGAACAGRACGTGACCTTCCCTTTGCTAAAGCTCATGGGGCTTCCAGCCTGCCAAGGGTCCTCTGAACAGCAGCACAAATTACCATGTGTTACGAGCGCGCCACTYGGGCTTGTAGGGGCTGTAGGGTAGTTAAGTCCCTGTATGAGCCACTGTGAAGAGGAAGCATGAAGTATTTTGGGTTACTTTCTCCTTTAGCATAAAGGAGAAGTCTAGGTAAAATTTGGAGTCTTCCATCCTTACGAGCAATGTTGTAGGAGTCATCTCCTACTAGGGATTAAAGATTTTTATTTCTTTTCTCTTAAATTTTACCATTCTTGCTCAGTTCTTACACAGTGAAAAAAGAAAGGGGGTTGTCTGGAGCTGTCAATCTTCAGTAAKAACTGGGGATAAGCAATTTTCTTGTTGTCTTCTTTCTTGAAGACAACATGACTTCATTCCTACTTCAGTAAATAGGAAATTAACGTCAAATAGAGGATTGCTTGAGAATGTCCTTTGACATCTGATATTTCACTGTCCTTTGCAAATCTGACCACCCACTACCTCCAAAACATACATAATTCTGAAACACTGAAACAGCTGAATCCCCCAAGGTTCCTTCATTTATCTCTTTTTATTTGTGCAGTCCTAAAAGGAAAAAAGCTCAGCCTTCCGATGCCTATTTGAAGATGCTTCCACAACTGCAAGTGCCTGAAGACGAAGGTCCGAGCTCACAGCCTTCCTCTCCTGCCCCTTGCTGACCAAGCAAAGGGCCGAGTTCCAGCTCCACGCCAGAAGACRCTGAGGCTTGGAAAGCTGGAACGCTTTTTGACCTGTATGGGACTTTGCCTCAGTTTCCCTCATCCTCTCCTCTTCTTACTTGAATCTAGTGCTAGAACGTAGTGCTGGGCAATATCACAGCCACCTCAGCTATCCCCTCCTGCTTTGATCCACAGTGTCCACATCCAAAACACTCCCCTATCCTGGCCCTAAGGCACAAGGAATAARAGGGAAGTTGTCACTACCCCTTCAGCTCTTCAGCCTTTACAACAGCCTATGCAGAGGAGAACTCGGTGTTGCCAACWCCGTAACACACACAGTCCCGCTTCACGTGCGGCCACCTCCGGCACGGCAGGCACGGCCTTACAGAACTCATGTGTGCACCAGGATCCACCTGCGACTCCGCTCTGCCTTCCCCCTATTCCAGTCAGGTCCCCGAACCCGCAAGAAAAATATATTTCTTTCAAATTACAAGAAACTTCCAATTCTACAGATACTCAGACATCATTTTTTCTTTTTCCCCCTCCTTCCTTCAGTGACAGTTCCTAAAATTCTACCAAGGGGGAACATTTCTATTAAAATCCAGTATGGTACCAACGGATGTCTCTAACTCCTTCAACTTGTTTAAGAACTGGGAGGAAAAAAGAAAAAGGAGGGGGGTACAGACTGTTATATGCTCTGAAAATAAAGACAAAGTCCACACTTTATTGACAACAGTGTTTTTATTTATACCTACAAAAGAAAACAAGATGGTATCAAAAGGACAATTTACAAACTAAGAATAGTAACATAGCTCTTAGTATCCTTTGTCTGAACACCACAGCTCTATCAATCGCTCAATTCAAGTCTTCGTTAATACAACAGGAATGTGTTCAGAGACCAGCAAGCGTGTGAAGCGAGACGCTGGCCCCCCACAAAGCCACTAACCTTTCCACCGTTCAGAGAAGTCCAACCAACACATTGCTTCAGGAAGCGGGAGGGGAGGAGACAGCCAACTCAAAGACACTCCCACCAACTGGCACAGATGGAAAACACCGCAAGGAGCACTAGACGGCAACGCTTTGGCCGCGGGGCCCTGGGGCTGGACTCGTGGGCAGCACAGCCGCGGCGGGAGGCGGCGAGCGCCGAAGGCGGCGGCCGGACGGCGCGTTCGGCGCGGCGGGCCGCGGCGCGAGGCCTGCGCGGGCCGCGGCCCTCCCGACACAGGGGAAAGCTGCAGCAGGCCCCGGGCCTGCTCCAGACGCCCTCTCTAAAGCCGGTCCTCGAGATGTCCCTGCCCTACATCCCTCCAACGTTATTCCTGCTTTCGACTCGCRAGTAAAACAAAATAAAAAGACGGCTCCCCCACCGCCTGTGAGCGAGGCCGGTGCCTGGATAAAATATTTCTGGCTTTCGTTTCACACAAGCAAAGGAACTTCCTGCCCTAGAATTCCACGGTGGGATGAGGGAGCAAGGTTCTGGAAGATCTCTCCCTTTTTCCTGTGGTGCTGCCCATAACCTACCTGTGTGCCATACAACCAATGCATTCATCCCCCAAAATTATATGCTACTAAGAAACTAAAAACAACCTCCCCTCGGCATAAGCAGGCTCTTTTCCCGGGCTAGAAGCAGCCCCACTCTGCTACAGGAGGAGTGGGCTGCCTTGCTCATCCATAGGCAGGAACACCAAGGGAAAAGAACCTGCCCTCCCAAAGCAGGAGACGCCCCCATTCTTTTGCCATGTCATTAGATCAAGAACAGCCGACTCCTATTCCCGTCCACTGTCTCTGAACCATCCGCTATTAAGGAATCACAAGTCGACAACATGTTTTACTAAAGGGAAAAGCCCTTCACACCCACCTTAGCCTGTAAAATAAACAAGTTTTATGTGTTTACTAAAATGTCACGCTTTTTCTAACGTTTTCTAAAATGCTACCTACCTGCAAGAGCTGAGCTCAAAGGGACCAATGGAATGGGGAAATGCATTCAAAAGCCAGGAAAAGCAGTAGTCAGAGCAAGGTACAAAAGAAAGAAAGCTTCAGAATCAAGATGCACTAACCAGCTCACTCCTTACCTCTCGAAGAGGGGATTCCAGGCAAATTTCCTCCTCTTCCATTCCTCCCCTTGCCCTCCCCCCAGCCCACCCTATTCAAACCTCTTAATTTTAAGTGTGGAAAACTCTGACACATTTTTTTCAGCATAGCAGCATTCAGAACATTCCCCAGGGCAAAGTTGCTACGTTCGTGAAGGAGAGACAAGTGAATGTGCTGATCAACATCTCAGTTCTGGGTAGTTTCTGGGATCTTGAATAAGAATCACCTCAATAACCCCAACAATATGAATCTGAGAGCAGAGAAGTAATTTATGTGTAAACAGACTCCATGCACTTGCGTTGCTGCAATTTAACAATCACAGGGGAGGAAAGAAAAATCTGGATAAAGATTACAGAAGCAGTTCCTACAGCGACTTTATTCTGATTTTCAAATGTCAAATCCAAGACAGGTTTGGTCTCCGACACTGGGATTTTAATCCCATCCTTGCTACTGCGGGCTGCTACAGGTGTCTTTAAGGTTGTTTCAGAAGATGGGCTGCTGCTTCCAGAGCTGCAGAAAATGTCAACCAGAACGTACGTGGGGCTTTACTCAGAACGCTGCCAAGCTGAGACAAACGAGCAGACTTTTCCTGTAGAAAGTCACCTATGGTAGATTACAAGCAACAATAGTGAGCTATTAAAAAAAAGAAAAAAAAAAAAGAAAAAAGAAAAAAAAAAAGAAATAAAAAAAGAGCATTGCTCCCTTGCATTTATCATGTTAAATGAAGTGCTTTCTGGCTCCCCAAAGTTTCCCACCTCTCTTGATACTTCCTGAAATTAAGTTAACACATTACAGAACAGAAACTTCCTCCCCTCAAAAGTAAGTTTTCACACAAACCTTAGACACCAAGATGATCAAGCTGGGACCCATCTGCCTGATACTCATTTCTTTTAGAGAAAATAAAATTTCCAATTTCTTCAACATGCAAGACAAAAAATAATAAATTTTCCAGTCAACTATATATATCTTTTAAAAAAAAACAAAAGAAAAGAAGAAAAAAAGAAAAAGAAAGAAAGGGTCAGTTATGTGGACTGGGGGCCATTTTAATGGGCTGGGGGGAGGGGGGGCTTGGGGCAGGGGGAAGGGGGGGGTTGAATGGTGAATTCTAAATCTACCCTGCATGAGACATCACAAGGGGCAAGAGGAGAAAGAGAAGGTTCCTCTAAAGGCAGGAGCTCTCCCCTGGTGGCCCTCACTTGCGCGAGGGGGGGGGGGGGGGGGGGGGGGGGGGGTACTGGTAGGTGGCAGTCTGTCCCATGTAGCCCATGACATTAGTGGCGGGAGGCTGAGGAAACTGTTGTGACATGAGCGGCTGTGGCTGCTGGCCCGTGCGCCCCACCATCCCCGCATACTGCTGCTGGGTAGTGCTCTGAGAGGTTCTCCCCGCCGTGGCAGCTGTGCTGCTGGCACCGTAGCCACTGGCACTGTACTCTGCAGTGCCATAGCCACTCGTGCCATAGGCAGCTGCTCCATAGCTCCCTTGGGTGTAGCCATACTGGCTCTGTGCCGCCCCAAAAGCAGAATTTGGGCTCCCATAGGCACTGCCATAGGTCTTGTTGGCTCCGTTGGCATAACTGTCACCACGCTCACGGTCTCTGAAGCCACCTGAGTCTCTCCGGCCTTCCTTCACTCCCCGGAGCCTCCTGTCACACTCCTCCTGGTACATCAGGTTAGGGTTGTTTACTGAACTGCTTGTACGGTAACGAGAACGACCTCCTGGCGATGGATACATCAAGATTTACTACTATGAAACAAGTCTCAAAACAACGAACTCCCATAACTGTGCTAGCCTCTTTCACCCACCTATTCACTGCATCTACAGTGTCGCCCACGAGGAGCAAGTTCTTCTGCCTGGCTCTAACTTCCCTGCACAGCTGAGCACGTATGTGTCTTGCGTTTATTCGAGACGCAGAGAGCAAGTTCAGAGAATATTCTTAATGCAAACACTCAGCAGCAAAGAAACAGGGAAAAAAAAGCCAGGACTAACGTGAAGGCATATCAAAGCTTATAGTCCCATGAGGAAAGCAGGAGGAAAAATAGTCTTAGCCCCCTAAAATCAAGACAGTATCACCTCAGGGAGTTAGATTTTGTTTGTGCATGCACACACATCCTCCTGCCTGCATGCAGGCAGCAGCTGCAAGCAGTAACTCGAGCAAGATCAGCTTCATGAAGAGCTGATCACAAGAGAAAAAACAATACATCTAAGATTATACAGTTATCTACCTACCAGATGGACAGAGATACTACATTTACGTAAGGTTTTGAGAGCTYGGGTACAAAAAGCTTTTCTACTAATCTACTGTTACCTTAGTCTTGGGGATATTGAGACCATTTCCTCATCCTCTTTCAATCCTCCCTCCCTCAGTATAGGAAGCCTATTCCCTGTGCCCATGTGCCTTTACCTCCACCACCACCTCCACCTCCTCTGTGGTCCACAAGCTGCATCAGTTTCGGATTGATGGCTTGATTGGCTTCTTCCAACACTTTGATAAGCTCCCTGGCCTGTTTCAGGTTGCCGGGTGTGAAGAAGGTGTAGGCAGTACCCTTGTTGGTGCTACGTGCGGTACGGCCAATGCGGTGCACGTAATCTTCAGAGCTGTTCGGATAGTCGTAGTTTATCACAAATTTTACATCTTCCACATCTTGGGAGGTGCCCAGGTGCGAAGCACAGTGAAGGGGTGGGGTTCAGGAAAGGGGAGAAGAAGAGAGGACGTGCCAACGAAAGGTGGGGAGCACGAATGCAGGTGACAGTAATAAGAAAAAAACACAAAGTTAGTAATTGCATGGAATAAATACAAGACAGACTCATCCCAAAAGAGTAGAAGACTGAAATTTAGGACCATCAGGAACAAAGATCACTCCTGAAAACCAGTGGCAATTTTAAAGCAGGTTTTTCTCCTGCACTGAAATTCATCCTCCCCGGAATGCAATTCTCTGTCTTCATTTCTTAAAGACACCAATGCTTATGAATTAGCTAATTGAATTTAGTTCTCTTTTTCAAAATGCAATTTCAGAAGTGAAAATGCCACCATCAGACACAGCAAACTGGGGTGGAAGAAGCTAGAACTGCCATAGCGAGAGCTTTTACTCTGTTGGGAGAAGTCTAGCAAATAACAACAGTGCTGAGATCACTTACCTTTCACTTCATAACATAAAATAAAATGCAAGCTTTTTAAAAAAATTCTACTTTTCTTTTATAATCCTATAGAATTGCACTGATTTCCTAGCCTGAAGTTTACAGCATTTCAATTACAGCAGTGTTATTCAGCCAACTTATTAAAAATTCTTCACATCAGAGCTAAAGTATCTTAAACTTGGCTTCCTAGTTATCACAAGGATGCATTGCACTAACACTTCACCATGCTGTTCAGTCCAGTGCTGGGAAACTTTTGTACATTGGACAATTCTGGATTGAATCAACAAATTGCCTACTTCTACTGTCAGACAGAAATAGGAAATTAAACGCTCAAAACCGCTCAGCGTGTAAAATACTAAAATTTAGAAGAGATTAGAACTACATGTCTCCAAAGTCAGGCTTTATAAACTTATAGGACTGAAACAAAGGAAATGTTAGTGTAACACACCAGTGAAAGCACCTAAAGTATCAAAAAGCACCTATTTGCTATAATATGCCATATTTTCTTAAAAAAAAAAGCACAGTATTACAGTAAATGCCCTAACAAAAAAAAAAAAATCTGCATTTTAAGAAGAATATTCTGAAAATATCCAAGATAAAACACAGATTTTTTGAGTTTTTTTTTTTTTTTAAAGAGAGAAACATTCTCTGTTTGTTACCAGACCGATGCACACTCCCTCCTCCTGTGGGAAACCGCTGCAGCCGATCCCGTCTCTTTGCCTTTTATTTTTGGCGGCCTCCTTTCGAAAACTCCGCCCTCTGACACGGGACCACTGGAGCGCGGGGAGCATGCATCAAGGGTCCGTGGCAGCGAGAAGTCCCCACACACGCTCGCTCTGTGAACTGGCTTAGATGCTTCTCTGTAGCCCCATTTGGGTGGGAAGCGCCGGAGAACCTGGGTTCAGGTAAGTTTCAGGTCCTCCAACGCTTTTTGCCCCCCTATGCGGGGTTTCTTTGGGGCGATTGTCAAAAAAATGAAAATACAAAAATTACGTCCAAAGGGTCAGCTGCATCTATTGCCCAGACTGCATCAATTTCAAAGGAGGTGGAGAAAAATAAAAACAAGAGGGTTGTGGTGGCAAGAGGGGGACTTTATGTCTGTTTCTTATTACAGCAAAGGGGGGGCTCCTCAGTCTTTGCTGACTCCAAAGTCCTGAATCACACCAAAAAAAGGGAGTGAGAAGGCAGGTTTCACAGGGGGCTGCGCGAGTCTCCAGCTAGGGTCCTGGGTACGACAGGTTGTTTTAAAAAGGGGGAGTGAAATAAAAGAGAGGGCTACGTATGACAGATTGCATCTTCACAGCCAGGGTGTACACAGCCTGAGAAGCAGCAGGCTGCAGGATCCTTAGGCAGTTTGCACATCCACGAGCAGCAAAGCAAGTTGAATTACCACAGAGGACACAAAGAGGTGCTTTCCCGGCAGAAAGCACAAGGAACTGCGGCTACCAATGTAGACAGCACTGACTTCACTGGGGAGGAGTGGGGAGAAGGCACAGGCAGGAAAAGGAAAAAATGGAAGGGTGTTCTCCAGACTAGGCAGTGGTCCTGGTAGAGCACGCGGCTGGCTGAAGAGAAACCAGCGCAAGGACAAGATTTGGCTTCTCCAGTCTAGCATGCTCCGAGGTGCTCGTGCACAGTCCCAATCTTCCTGCGCTTTTAGAAGGTAATGAAGCAGGATCAAGAATTGAAACTGTAGATCACTTTTGACAGCCACCCGGGAAACATGCCCTTTGGCAGACCATCAGAACACCCTACGGCACAGACAGTCTCTGATTTTTAATCAGGAGGGGTATAAACTAGCAAACATGCTAGTCTAGAGAGCTGCTTCGACCACCAGTGTAGATGTGCCCCCGCCCCTGCACTGAGAATGATCTGCAGCTGATATCAAAGCTTCTGTTAAAGAAAACAAAACAAAGGAAATTCAATGCTTTTAGTTTAATAGAGTGAACAAAAAATAAATAATAAGTAAAAAAAAATAAAAATAAATAAAGAAAAAATCAGTGCAGAGACAGGACCTCACTCCAGGGAATTATCACAAAGAAGTCATTATGGGACTCAGAACTTACCTGGAAGAAGCTTTTTTGAAACCAATGTTCCATTAGGAAGAGGGAAAGCCCTGGTGACTCAGCCAAAAGGCGCGCGCCCCTGTTTTATGTTATTTAGGTAGAAGCCTTCACTTTCCAGGATCTTGGAGGAAGTCGTCCAGAAGTTTGCCAGTTAAGTGACTTATTTTAAGAAGCAGCAAACTCAGGGCCCCAAAACAAGCAGAGATGTTGTTCAGTAACAAGAAACAGACTCTGGTACCTTTCCCCCACGGCTCAGGGGACGTGGAGAATGGGAAGTGGGAGACTGTTTTCTGGAGTGTTATCCAATTGAGTAGTTTTGGGGGAGTGTTTTTGGAGGGGCTGAAACTGTTTTAAATGTCTAGGCAAGATGCACAAAGAAGCTACCAGCACATAGCAAGCCTGTTTAAAAAATGCTGCTACAGAAGCAGCTCTCTTTCATATAAACTGGTTTCAGGCCTCAGTCCCTTCTCCCAACAGGCCCAAGTTCTACCTGCACAGGTCCAGACATGACCCTAGAGGGCAGAGACTGAAGTCCATGCAATCACCTCTCTGAGGAGGCGGTGGACAGTTTTGGAGGGGGGAGGGCAAGGAGGGGTGAAGGTTGTGTGAACAAGGGCTGCCAAGTCTAACCATGGTCTGCCTGTATTTAAGTGATCGTATGATGCACAGTGCAGCCACCCTTTCAAGCATATGTAAAAACAAAGCTCATGTAATGGAAAACTTTAATAACTAACGGCTTTCCTGAGCTTATTTGCAATGACTTGCAAAATTTTTGTCTAAAATTTACCAGTGAGCCCCAAGTAGTAGCTCCTACCACACTCGGGCAGCATGGCATATTCAGTGCTCATTATTAAACTCAGAGCACTTTGTAAGTCATCTTTCTTTTCTACAGTTGGCAGACATTTAAGCACTGTGCTTTAGCACAGTGTTTCACAATACAAATATGCTTATTTAAAGACGGGGGCACAACTGATGCATCCAGACAGATCATTTTCATCCACCAAAATAAAACTGTGTAATTTTGATTCAATTACACATTTGGGTAGCACCATGTTAAATGCCTTATATAAATCTCAGTGGTCCTGCCTAGAAGGAACACAGAGGAGGGAAGGCTACATGTCAAGACCAAACATCTGGAGCGGTGCTTTCTCAGATGTGAATACATCTGCTGGGTAAACGTGCGTGCACGGTGGGGTTTCTATGTACAAATCTGTGATATTGCATACAGGGAAATTAATTAACTATTTGCTGTTGAACTGCTCTATTGACTTGTTATTTCAACTTTATCTGACACCCTCGGAAGTGAGAGCAATCCATCCCTATCATCCAGCAACAAAAGCCGGATTTGGGGAAGAAGTGAGTGTGGTGGAAGGATTGGGTTGCATAATTGGACGTCTCTTCTCCCTCTTGGCGATCGATTAGTCATGCCTAGGCCTTGCTGCAGACCAAAGCCTGTTCATTAGGAGCAGGAAGAGACTTTGAATATGAAAGAAAAAAAAAAGATTAATGTTAAAAAACGTATTTCACATGTGGGGGAAAATCACGCTTTTTGATTTTTTTTTTTTAAAAAGAAAACATATTTCAGTCCAAAGAAGAAAAATATGCAGCAGTAGGCAAGAGTGGTCTATGGGTACAAACCTAGCCCACGAGATGCAACGTCGGTAGCAATGAGGATGGGAGCCTTTCCAGAACGAAACTCTGTAAGACAAAGTACACTATGAAGCAAGACTTGTAAAAAATATAGTTATCCAAACCTGATTTATCCTAAATGCTCATTTTCCAGAATGTASGTGAGATGAGCCAAGTTCAGAACCCCCAGCAAGCCAGCACAGAAACTGTCAACTGTTTTTTTCATTCTATTTATCATGTGTTAAGCAGTTTAAGAGTTTGCATTGCATTTTTGTCAGGAAGAGGGAAAAACAAAGCAGATACAAATACTGAAATTAACAGTACAAAGGCAAAAGAAATTATTTGGAAAGGTACTCATGAAGTATTTTATAAATGTATTATGAAGTACTGAGAGACCTACCCACCTCCCACCCACCCCCCAAAAAAAAAAAAAAAAAAAAAAAGGAAAAAGACCACAGGACATAAAAAGCACATTGCTGTGAACACACTACAGTAGCCCAAGTTATTCTCTCCCCATAACTGGACTCACCATTAAGCACCCAATCTCTTTCTGGCTGACTCTTGTCTCCATGGATACACATAGCTGGCCAACTGCCAAACAGAAATGCACATTAGTATAAACAACGTACATATATTAAAGGTAAGACAACACTATTGGCATTCCTGTAGAAAGGCAAAAAATAAGCACTTTWAAAAAACCCTGTTTTTATTTCCTGCACTCTTCCTCATGCCTTTAGATAAAACTTATGTTTCCCTTTTCTGTATGTGTTAAAACTCCTAGCTATGTAACAAATGTCCAAGCCAAGTCAAATCCCCTTTATTTATACTGTCCTTGTCTCTTCTGCATTTTAGCTATTTTCTATGTTCTGACATACTGCAAGTGTCACTGCTTACATCTTGCACTAACATTCTGCTGCACTAGAACCTTCCAGGCACCCCAGCTGAATTCAGGCCAAGAAAAGAAGGGACAGGTTGTTCCCAACAGGAGCATCATGAACATTTAACCTTGGTGCTTAGTCCCCTTAGAAACAAGAGAGGAAGGGAAGAGGAGCTATTCACCCATCTCTGCGCATCCTGCGAGTGAGATCATCGCATCGCCTCTTTGTCTCCACAAAGATGATGGTCTTGTTCTCCTTCTCCGCCATGATTTCTTCCATCAGCTGTATCAGTCTAAAATGGATATGAAAATTAATATGTATAACCACATATCCAAGAATGTATGTGCGATCTCAACCTAAATCGAGAATATATGMAGTACATATTGACATAAAGCCAGCATCATTCATACAGAATTTAAGTCTCTTGTACAATATGGGAACATATGTTATCAATTAGATGATTACAGGGCRTAATTGTTTAGGTGAAATAATACTGCAAGCAACTTTGCTACTCAGAATCCATATTTTGCTTAGTAAGCACTGGATATTTTTAAGAAAAACAAAGGGAAGGCAAATCAGCATACTTATGGTCTTTCTCGCTTTCCATGCACACATCCACTATCTGCAGGATATTGTGGTTGGCACTCAGCTCCAAATTGCCCACGTTGATCTGCACRTAATCCTGCAGGAAGTCCTCGGCGAGCTGGCGCACTTCTTTGGGCCAGGTGGCACTCCACATCAGGGTCTGTCTGTCAGGCTGAGGGAAAGGGAGAAGGCTTTAAGACAGCAGAACTCGAGGGGAGGCTGTAGAAGGGGGTGCTCTTACAAGGTGCACTCACCCTGATCTGATCGACGATTTTACGGATTTGAGGCTCAAAGCCCATGTCCAGCATCCTATCCGCCTCATCCAGAACAAGGTAGGTACAGCGACGAAGGTTGGTTTTCCCCGCCTCAAGGAAGTCAATCAAGCGGCCTGGTGTAGCAATGCAGATCTCCACACCTTCAGACAATGAGGAAAAGGAGTCATTTCTTCATCTGAATGTCAATTTGGTATTTTTAGTCAGAATGAATCACCTTCCAGAGGAAAATTGTTTAAAAATAAGTAAATAAAAGTTACCTCCCCCATCCAGACCCAAGTTTGAGTCAATTTTTTCAGCAGAAGCCCTAGATTCTTTTAATACTTGTTTTTCAGTCCAAAATGACTGTTACAGTGCCAACAGAACAATGCATGTAGTATGCAGTATAGCAGTGAGGAAGAGCTACCCAGAATCTAAAGTAATCTACGGTGTCACTCAAGCCTGACCCACCTTCATGCAGGACTACTGAAATTTAGTGCATTCTCTAGCAAAGTGGAACTGAACTCCAGCTAAATTCTGCAGGTCCAACATGTTTAAACATGCTCCTCTTGCTGTAAAGATAGTTTCACAGTAGTTTTGAAAAAACAGCGTGTATGTTGGGGAACAAAATCTCAATAGCTTTCTCCTTATTTTCAGATGCAAAGTACTTTGTGGAAGCCCAGATCCTTTTGTCTGGGTCAGGTTAGATTCCTCAAAGCTGATGAAGTAGGGCATATTTTCAGTTTCTATAAAGCTAACACAAGAAATGGATTTCTAATGGAGCCACTGGTCTGCCAGAGAGACTCAAGAAATTGTAATCTCCAGTGTCAAGGATATGGAGTCCTCCACAGTAAACTCACTAAAATTCCTGAAAGATCACAGCTGAGAAAATACATGTAATTTATATACAATCTAAGGAACTAAATATATATAGATACATATAAAATCTTCTCTGGACTTTGCCTATTCAATCTTTGTAGCAGAAAATACTAAACAACTAACGCTTGAAAGAACTGAGAGCAGGCACATCCTTCAAACAAGGATTTTCTTCCTGAACGGGAGAAAAACTATTTTGAAGTGCTCTGGAAAGGTGTGCAAATAAACCTTGCTGATCTTCTACGAGTGTCTTCATATCACCTTTGAMTGCCCTGTTTAGGATGCTGCTGCTCTTGGGCCAGAATGCAGTACCATTTCCTTGAAGAGAGCTATTCCACCATTTTCTACCATGCATGCCTTTATCCCACTACTGAAGCTTGCAACAGTAACTCTTCAAACTGCAGTGGCAAGAAAAGCGTGGATTTCTTGAGCTGATCTGTATACAAGCACGCCTTATTATCAAGGTCTTACATCTTTTCTCATAATACTATTACATTTTTCACCTTTTGAAGATTAAAAGAGAATGTGGTGTTTAAAGTTACATATCACTAACTCTGGGTATGAAAGCAGGGGCAATCTAGAGCCCTACTGCAATACCAGAGTTCTTGYAGAACTGTGGTTCCTTGCTCTAGCCCCTTGCTATATAAGAAAAGGTCATTACAAGATATTATGCGGTCTCTGAACCAGAATGAAAACTTAGCTGTTAAGAAAAGTCTCAGAAAGGTTTTAAAACAAAACAAAAACCTCACCTCTCTGAAACAACTTACACAAATTCAGAAATTAAGGTTTCATTTCAACAATTTTGGGGTAGAAAATTTATCATATGGCCTGAGAAAAAAAATTCTTCCAACAGGCTGCTGTTGTATTTCCTCCAAATAAYTTGTTTCTAACAAATCTCCCTTCCCCCTTTCTAAGTCTAGCTCACTTCAAAAATGGAAAATTCAAAGAAAAAAGGGAAAGGAAGTCTAATATATTAGTTAAGCTCTTATTCAAAGTACAAAAAACACATTTTAATTGAAGGAGCTACTCATCCTCACACCTCCCCAAACAGACTTAAKAAAAGGCCTTTGTTTACAGAGATCTTACCATTTCTTCCAGAAGCTGTAAATCCCAGTTTTAAAATCTACACTGAATTACCTCTTTCTAGATCTCTGATCTGGGGACCTTTGGGTGCTCCTCCGTATATGCAGGTACTCTTCAGTCTCGAGCATTTGCCATAGTCGTCAGCCACCTGCTGCACTTGCTGGGCCAGCTCTCTAGTAGGTGCCAGAACCAGGCACTGCAAAAGGAATCCATTCAGGAGAGTTAAGTGAACACAAATCCCCATCTTAAGGGCTCTGCACAGATACCATAAGCAGAACTGGACCATCTAGTCTATATTAACCGAAATAGTGAAGTATCTCGAGAACATGTCAACAATTGCACAAAATTTCCACTAATAAAGTGAAGTGTTAGCAAACATTCCTCTACTTACTATCCTGATATACCTACTACTGTGCAACAGTGCCATGCCATACACTCAAGAAGGCAGGTAGTGGAAATGCACTTACAATTGGGCCATCCCCTCTCTCCAAATATGGCTGGTGGTTGATGTGAACAATTGCAGGCAGCAAGTACTATTAAGAAAAAAGAAAAAGAAAAAAGCACTTTRAGTCAAGAGACAAGAAATCAATAYTCAGTAACAGCAATCACTTGCTATGATAACTGAATCATGGTAAGCACCCATTTAGCCTAACATCTCTTTGAGATCCAGTACCTGACATTTCAGAGAAGCCCCAGCTACACAACATCATGACCCTACAAAACTGGATATTTCCATTTATCTAACCAAAAAAAAAAAAAAAGGTTTTCAGAGCTGCTGAGCAACCAAATCTCCTTCTGATGCATGTATAAAACAGAGCTGTACAACACCTCTAAAAGGAAGACATGTTTAGACTTGGAATCTACACTGGCTACAGAATTTTTGGTCAATTCTATTAAGCTTTTCGTAAAGGAAAGAATTCCCTCCTGCCAATGCAGAGATTAATGTACTTAATGTACACCTTGAATTGCAAGACTAAAAAGTCTTTTACTTTAACTTGCACAGTTAATAAAATAAACATGCTAAAAAGGACACACTATTTTTAAACCACAATATAAGCAAGGACCAAATAAAGAGAAGAGTGACTAAGCATCAAAAGAAGAAGTTATGCGAAATACACGCCTGTCAATGAGACAGACTTGTTGAGATTTAAGTCTCATCCATGACTCAATGAGAAAAGTTTTACAAAAATATGCAATCATCTCACTTTAGTCTTGCTGTAGCAAAAGCCCCAGATCTACTAACAAGAAACCAACAAATATTTCYGCAAAGCAACTGGAAACAAAATGTAATAAAATGAAGAATACGTACAGCTAGAGTCTTCCCAGAGCCAGTCTGAGCAATGCCCACCATATCACGTCCACTGAGAGCCAGGGGAAAGCCTTGGCACTGAATTGGTGTGGGTTCTGTGAAGTTCTGGTCCATCAAGGCATCCATTACATACTCTAAAATTTTAAGAAAAGAAGAATTTTCTTCATGGTAATTGAAGCTACATGTAGCTTCAAAAAACTACTTTGGCAGGAAGGTAAAGGGGACTCATAAACAGTCACTGCTATTGAATTGGCCTCAGTTCTTTAAGAACAAAGGSTATGAAAAGGGCAAAATACTTACGCGGAAAGCTGCACTGGTGGAAAGCAAATACAGGCTTGGGGCAGCCTTCCATTCCTCGAATTGTTATCTCCTTCTTTCTTCTCAATTCTTCAACTTCATACTATTCACATGAAAAAATACAAAGACAAATGTCAAGTGGTCAGCAGCAACCTAAACCAYACAGTTCTATCAATAAATTTCACACTTTTAGTTAGCAGATCTAATTAATTAATAATTAATTTCARATCTAAACTGACAAGGGGGGTAGAGGGGGGAAGTCCTCTCCAAATGATTTTATCAGGAAAYTGAGCTATCATGTAGCCTCTCTGACATCCAGAGTTATGAGTCTTCTCTATAGTCTAGGAGGACTAAAGGGCACTCTCCTCTTCCAGCCACCTGGAAACCTACCATTAACCGTGTATGAATACATTTAAGACTACTACCCTTCTTTCAGAGGCCAGAAAGTAACACATTCAAAAATGAAAAGACATAGAGGAACAGAGAGACGATACAAAGACCTAAGTAAATTAAACTGAATCCAAAGTATTATTAAGCAGAAGCAAACAAGAAACAGAGGATGTGCTCTCTCCTTCGAGAGCACAATCCAGTGTTGGCCAGAAGCAGGTTTCTGGCTGTATAACCTACCACTTAGAATTGCTGCTTTGCAAGAGTTCTTTTCTGCATAGAAGACTTGCTGAGCAATGTCATAATTGCTCAATTAAAACAAAAAGATACAATTTTTTAAAATAATGGAATATTTTAAAACGTTTTTGAAATGTGTAKCCACACAAGATAACCTAAAAAAGTATAAACTGGTATCTTTTCCTACAATTTTTCCTAATCCTCAAGTTTTACTTGTGTCCAACAGCACTTTTCTACGTGCTTCTGTGATTCATGAACTTATTATAATGCTTATTACACAAAAAAAAAAATCTCAATACTGAACAAGCACTCTCTTACAAGTTTTAAGTTTATTGCTTTGGATAAACTCTTGCATTTGAATGGAAAGATCAAAAAAAGCTTTCAGAAAATGTAAAACATTCCAGTTGACTAAAGCAATCAAAGGCAGCTATTGCAACTAAAGCTAACTCTAGCTCAGCAGCAAAATTTGTTGTCTCTTAAAAAGAAGTGTCTTTTAAACTGTTTATGCTGTAGAAATGTATCATGAATTTTACATAATGGTTTTAGAACTATGAAACTTAACAGAGCTGTGTTTTAAAGTTGCTTTGTGTTTAAAATGGTTACCTCTTACTTTAAAAATATAAAAAGGGACTAAAGAGGAAACAAAAATCCAGGCTGAAGCTTGGTTAGCAGAGGGGAAGATATAGAGTCCAGTCTGGGGCTATATGTCCACTTTTGAAGCCCCTAGTGTAAGAAAGACACTGACCAATAAGGCATATCCATTTGTGTGGGAAGCTAACAGCTGGAGGAAACGCTAAAAAAAWGTGGGTTTTTTAAGGTGGGGGGAGAGGATTAGCAAGGAGATCTGTTATCTTCAACTGCTTCATGGGTAGCTATTAGAGAAGATGGAATCCACATCTTCAATTTCCTCTTAGTTATTAGGGAGGAAAAGAAGTCTCACCATGAGTAACATTAAGTCCTCAGCTTCACAGAGAGCACTCTCCCTGCTTGAAGATCATTCAAATTCAAATGGACAAGGCCCTGAGCAAAATGCTCTAGCACTAAAGTTGCCCTTACTCTSAGCACAGGGTTAGACTAGACACCTTCAAAAGCGCCTTTCAACATGAATTATTACCATACTACAGTATTTTCTAATATTTCTTGTGTATTCATGCCACTGCCTGTTTATCGACAAATTACTATTTCAATGTATTCATTGTTTTAGTCTCCTTCAGTGTCTCTCCTCTGTTGCAACTCTGAACTCCTCTCATTTGTAACTACACAGATGAATATGGCAATTCACATTGTTTAATCTTGCATAACTTAACCAGAAAAATAAGATGGTGAACTGCAATGACCAGATGCAAAATGACTTGTATGAAAAATATATGAGAAACAAGCATMATTTTTGCTAAAATCAAATACTGAAAACAACTAGAACTAGTACCCTGCAGATACACATATTACTGAACAAGCTCAGTGAAGAGACAGTTTTACTAATATGTAGCCCAAACCTTTCCAAAACAAGTGTTTCAGCAGCTAAGCTTTCCCACCCCTTACCGGAGTAAGCCTGGCCACTTCCGGATGCTCCACATAGAAATTCTTCTCAAACTTGGGCAGTTCACTTAAATCCCACTTTTTCTTACGCAGACGTTCTCCTGGATTACCAAATTTCTTTGGAGGAAGAGGACCTCCACGACTTGCTCCAAATCGGTAAGGGTCCATGTCAGCGCTAAGCAAAATATTAAAAAAATAGTTAATTACTCCGGAATTGGCAACTTTATTAAGCATTTTCAACTATGAACTTCTCAAGTTAGCCTGCTGAAAACAGCACAACATCCTAGCAAAACACACCTCCCTCAAAGAAACCCATATTCCTAAAATTTACTGCCAGTACAGCCACTTTAAAGTCACTGTCTTAAAGCTGCTGTTTCTCAGTTTCCTCTCAAGGCTCCCTCTCTGTGTACAAAGCTGATGAAGGGCTATCCTACTTTTTTTTTTTTTTTTTTTTTTTTGAAACTGGAATACTTAAATCATCACTAGATGAAAAGTACAGAGTCTTCTAATAAAGACCCCATCTCCCATTGCTAGTTTTAAAGTTAACATTTAAAAAAAAATCTTTTTTTTCCCCATTCTTATCAAGCAGTATGTCCCTACTATAAAAAAAGTAAGTATGAAGAAAATACGGTATAAAGTAAACAAGCCACACCCAGATCTGTAATTCTGGAACCAAACCAATAAAGAATTTTTTTTTTTTTTAAATACAGTCTACTAGTAGAAAAAAACAGTCTGGAAAAATCATATCCTCTTCTCATCTTCTCAAACCCTTTTGTTGAATATTCAAGACAGTAAGAAACTAACATTTATTCTTTTATTCTGCTATATGCTTTAAAATTGCTCCGCAGAAGTTGCCATTCTTTCATTACTGGGACATAAACACAATAGAAATTACTTTTCCATATGCTTTCATGTCACATTTGAAGTCTGGTTAGCAAAACTACCATTAAGGTTTGTTTTTTCCCCCAAATCTGCATTTGTTAGAGATGCTTTGTTTAAAACAGTAATTCTATTTACAACGCAAATCCACAGTGTCTGCACCTAAACTGAGCAGTTTGCTCTCTTTCATTAACAGCTTTTATTGTGAGCGATTTTGTTACATAGACAAGTAGGTTGAAGGGGAATTGGTAAAAACAAAAGTAGATTTGAAGCAAATTTGTGAATCATAGTTACTTATCACAAGAGTATCTGCTCAGACATTAACAGACTGCATGCTGTAAGTATACAGTAGACACAATTTATCTTAAAGCCTACTAAGTAAATTTTAAATTGTTTGCTACTGTTTCAGCAGTCTCTTCCCTCTTTTATATATAGGCTTATCTTCTCATTAGCACATCTAGCAGTCTGTATAATCAATAATTTTTGTCACGTGACAAGACTGTAAACCGAAAATTCAAAAATAATTTAAAGCTTAACTTATTTTGGGGGACAAAGTAAAAGAATCAGATTAACAGATTATTGGTCGCCTCCAATAAAGGTGAATGTTTCTGTAATTGCTACCGTTCATGCTCATCTGAGACAAAAATGCCAACCATTTATGTATCTAGGCAGCTCTAACAAAACTAAAGTCTTGCTGAAGGCAATTGGAGAGGCAAAATGTGAATAAATCTATAAAAAAATGTCTGCAAGACTAGACAATAAAAAAAAAATCTGTGTTTTATAAGTATTTGCTCCTCGGCTATGCAGGAGAACACAATGTATTTTGCATGAAGGCCTCGGTTTCAGTTCTGCATTCTTGTGTACAGTATGACTGTACGTTGACCTAAAAGGGAGCCCTACAGCACTCCTGAAACACAGCCTCTGAGAAGATTCACCTGAAAATAACTGATAATTCACATTCTCGTTACACGTAATAGTCATATTCCAATTCCAGTTAAAATGATTTAAGTCTAAGGTTATTTCGCTGATTTACCAAGAGCTCTCATTTCAATTAAGTGGAAATTTTGACTGATCCAAAACGATCTCCTCTGACACTATTGTGCTATTTGTTTCTGGGACAGAGCTAAATATTTATTCAATTCTAAAGCACAATAGGGTAATTTTTCTCAAGAGTCATCTACARCTTGTACACAACAGGGAGAAAACCGAAAGCCTGTATTTGGTTGGCTTACAAATGAACCAACATTGAAGCAATATATGGCAAACTTCCAAACAGTGCTTGACCAGCAGGCTGGGTCACCCCAAACTTGAGAGTATTTATATTTATAATATTGTGGTATTTATAATATTTATGGTATTTATGATATATGCCAGTCATTAGTCATTACAAAAGTTTTCGGACCTTAGAGAAATGGGTATAATAAAGTGAACCCTGACACAATAAAATTTCCAGTAYAATAGCCCATGAATAAGATCTTTGATTTTTCAGGAAAAACATCCTAAATCTTTACAAATAAGCATGTAAGCACTGCTTTTACTTAGGCAACACATCTGTTTTAAGAGAGAAATATCTGTCTACAAACAATTTTCTTTTAAACTCAAAACCAGACTACACAGATTTTAAGGCACGTTTAAGTATTGTGTGTTTTTAACAGTGTTAAGTTACTGCATATAAATCGAGACACTTAAATTCAGTCACTAAACTCCCGAAACAGCTGGGATCTCAACTATCTCAGGCTCTCCAAAGTGTTTACTCCAATGACCTGGTGTTAAACTAAGATGGAAGGCTTGTAGCGGAAAAACCCCAGAACTGCTCTCTGGAGGAAGGAAAAAAAAAAAAAAAACACTAAAACAAATGGCAAAAATAATGATAATAAATACTGAAGAAATCTTTTACTTTCAGAATATGAAATGGTGGGTGTAAAGATAAAGCCAGCAGAGAACTGTCTCCACAGACAAACCTTAATATTAAATTACAATTTAACATACAACCTCATCTCCCAGTGTGAAGGAAAATGAGAATAATTAAAAAAAAACCCTCATCCTTAATATAGCAACCTAGATTTCAATTCATAACATAATCTGTGTATGTTTGTCCTTGAGAATAGAGGCCTAGCTATTTGTGATTTAGAGGACAGAAACGGCCAATCTATCCTAAATTTGGTTAATTTTTTTTTTTTTTTTTTATTTAAAGTGGCTTAGTATGGAAGTTAGATTTTTAACCTTTTAAAAAATAAATAAAAGTACATAAATGGCTTCAGGCTTTTTTATGCCAGCCCATGCATGTCATGTCTACCCTAACCAATATTCACGGTGTATTATATTTATTACTCCCATCCTTAGATAAAAATGAACCCCACAAAAACCTTATCTAAGCCAAATTTCGAGCCAACAACCCAAAAAGCACCAAGCACGGGACTTCCACGGTGTCACAAAGACAACTGCTGCGTGACTGCTATCTAAGTAAGCTTGGTCACGCTCCTCAAGTGCGCTCCAAGGCCATGTTTACTGAGCTCGGCCTCTTGAGAACGCGACTCCCCGGCAAACGAGAGGTTTTCGCTTCCATTTCCCCTCCTGATAAGCCTGGGAGTGCTACCGAGAAATATCTTTCACCAACTGCCATCTTTCTGAGAAGTCCAGAAGGAGCAATGACAACGAGAAGGGCAAAAGAGCCAAGCACTC